GGGAGACAGAATATTAAGCAGGCTCCATGCCAGCATATAGTCCAGTGCAGGGCTCAGTTTCATGACTCTGAGATCATGATCTGAGCTGACATCAAGAGTCAGACGCTTAACTTACTGAGCCACCCAGGTGTCCCAAATTTTGGACATTTTAATTATGTGTCTTGGTGTGGACTGCCTTGCGCTCACTTGTTTGAGGTTCTCTGTATAGCCTAGACCTGGGTGTCTGTTTTCATCCCCCTTAAACTTAAGGAGGCTTTCAGCTGTTGTTTTCTCAAATTGTTTTCTGCCCCTTTCTCTTTTTCTGGGGCCTGTATAATATGAATGTTAGTATACTTGACGTTGTCCTAGAAGTCCATTAACGTGTCTTTTTTTTTTTCTTAAATCTTTTGTTTTTACTGTTCGGCTTGGGTGCTTTCCATTACTCTGTCTTCCAGATCACTGATCCAATTTTCTGTATTCTCTAATCTGCTGTTGATTCCCTCTAGTGTATTTTTCATTTCAGTTATTGTATTCTTTAGCTCTGATTTTTTTTGAAGTTTTTGTTAAAGTTCTCACTGAGCTTAGGGGCACCTGGGTGGCTCAGTTGGTTAAGCGTCCGACTTCAGCCAGGTCACGATCTCGCGGTCCGTGGGTTCGAGCCCTGCGTCGGGCTCTGGGCTGATGGCTCAGAGCCTGGAGCCTGTTTCTGATTCTGTGTCTCCCTCTCTGTCTGCCCCTCCCCCGTTCATGCTCTGTCTCTCTCTGTCCCAAAAATAAATAAAAAACGTTGAAAAAAAAAATTAAAAAAAAAAAAAAGAAAAGAAAAAGAAAGTTCTCACTGAGCTCATATACTTCTCTCAAATCTGGTTAGCATCTGTATGAGCATTATTTTGAAGTCTTTATCAGATAGATTCCTTATCTCTATTTTGTTTAGTTCTCTTTCCCAGGTTTTGCCTTATTCTTTTGTTTGGAACATATTCCTCTGTCTCCTGATCTTGAAAGTAGTGGTCTTATGTTGAAGGTGTCCTGTGGGGCCCAGTAGCACAATCCTCTCTGGTCACCAGAACCAGGTAATCCAAGGATGTCCCCTCTGTGGACTGCATTCACTCTCCTGTTGTGACTTGGCATGACTGCTGCAGGCATGCTAGTGGCCAGGTCTGGCCTCCAGCCTGGCTGGCTGCAGTGATTAGCCATGACTACTTATGGGTGTACTGGTGGGTAGGGGTGGACCCCTGTGCAGCTATGAGATCTGGCTGTAGTGGGTGTGCTGGTAGATAGGGTTAGTTCCAGTGTAGAAGTCTAAGAGTCTCACCTCCACCTTTGGTGGGCATGCTGGTGGGTGGGGCTAGCACTCCACCTCCCTGGGGCAGAAGTTGCTCTGGAAGGGCATTGGTAGTTGGTAGAGCATGTGACTTGATCGAGGGGTTGTGAGTTCAAGCCCCATGTTGGGTATAGAGTTACCCAAATAAAATCTTAAAAACCAACCACCAACCAACCAACCAATTAACAAACCCCAAAAAACAACTGAGGCTGCTTGCCAGGTGTGGTGCAGATTGGACCGGACAGGTCTGTAGGGAAATGCTGGGGAGGAACACGTAGTGTTCTCAGGACAGATGGAGAGTATCAGAACTGGCTCACACAACCGTCGTCCAGCTAAGCTGAAAGAGGGCAAGAAAAATGGTGCCCACCAGTACTGCCCTGCCCCTCCAGAACACCCTAAAATTAGATTTCCTTCATATATAACCCAGGTGCTTTCCAAACTGCTGCCCCTATGCTGGGTCTCAGACTAAGTGATCTAGTGCTCTGGCCTTATGAGTGGCGTCTTTGTTTCTTATTGCCTTCTGGCTCTCTTAGAGTTATGGTAAGTCCTACTGGTCTTCAAAGGCAGATTTTATGGGGATTTATCTTCCCTGTGCAGGTCCCCACAGCCAGAGGTGCCTGATGTGGAGCCTGATCTCTTCGTTCCTTAGAGAGGAACTCCTATGATATCCCTCCTACTTGTGGGTTGCCAGGCCAGGGGTTTTGGTTCTCGACTGAGTCTCTGCCCCTCCTACTGTAATGAATGTGGCTTTTTCTTTATATCAGTAGCTGTGGGAAAGTTGTTCTGCTAATCTTCAGGTTGTTTTCAGAGTGAGTTATATTAAATGTAGTTGCAGTGTGGGTGTGTCTGGCGGGGGTGGGGGGTGGAGGTGAGCTCAGGATCCTTCTGTTCTTCCATCTTCCTTGCAATCGGTACCTTTCTTAGTGTAAAATCAATAGCAGTTCTCAAAAATTAATACTTCCACCTCAAGAAACTCAGATGACAGAATAAATGTTTATGTGCCACGTGAGAGAGGGAGTGCAGAAAGAAGCGAGAGTGCATTTTATTATTTTTATTCCTTTAAATATTTGTTTTTGAGGGAGAGAGAAAGCACAAGCCAGGGAAGGGCAGAGAGAGAGAGAGAGAGAGAGAGAGAGAGAGAGAGAGAATGAGAGAGAATGAGAGAGAATCTGAAGCAGACTCCAGGCTCTGAGCTGTCAGTACAGAGCTGGACGAGGGGCTGGAACCCACAAACGATCATAAGATCATAACCTGAGCTGAAGTCGGACCCTTAACTGACCTAGCCACCCAGGTGCCCCATGAAAGAATCATTTTAAATTTAATCAAGATCCATTTGGCAGATATTTATTGAGCAACTGCTATGCATTAGCTTCTGGGCTTAGCTTGTAGAAAACTTAAGAGGTGATTTTCATACTTTTTCCCCTCAGGAGCCCTTAAGTCTATAAAACAAAGAAGCTGCCTGACTTGGAGGCTAGAGCCTTGCCTACTGAGAATCTTTATCATTTTCCCTCCATTTCCAATCCTCACACCCACTCAGGATACCTCAGATGGTTCTGTGAGTATCCCTCCCTAGTGTTCACTAAACAGAATCTGAAAAACCAATTGTCTAATAAATATTAATACCAAAGCCTCACTATAATAGTTATGAGAAAGAAATAATATAAAATATAGCAGAGATAAGTATAAAATGTGTAAAGAAGTATTAAGTATAAAGATGAAGAGAATCTGGCTTAACAGCAGACATGTGATAAAAACCTGAGCATTTCAGTTGCTCAACTTCTCAGTATAAGCCAGCAATGTGGTCAGGGCTCGCCTAAAGAACCCATACAGTTTTACTCCCAAAGATAGAAATGTATTGTCCAGCACAAAGCAGTTGCCTTTTCCTCATCTTCATTGGCCAGACCATAGTTTTAAAAATTTTTATGGGGCGCCTGGGTGGCTTAGTCGGTTAAGCGTCCAACTTTGGCTCAGGTCATGATCTTGGGGTTCGTGAGTTTCAGCCCTGTGTCAGGCTCTGCTGACAGCTCAGAGCCTGGAACCTGCTTCAGATTCTGTGTCTCCCTCTTTCTCTGCCCCTCCCCTGCTCACGCTCAGCTCACAGCTGTCTCTGGCTGTCAAAAATAAATAAATGTTAAAAAAAATTTAAAAAAATTTCTTATAGCTTTATTGAAATATAATTGACATACAGTATATCACATATATTTAAAGTACACAATTTGGTAATTTGACATATATATACACCCATGAAACAATCACCAAAATCAAGATAATAAACATATGCCTCACTACAAGTGTCTGTGTAGTCCTTTGTAAACCCTTTCTGTTCCCCCAACCCAACCCCTCTTCCTTGCACCCACTTGAAGCCAATGATCATTTTGTCCTATAGCTTAGTTGGCATTTTCTATAATTTTATTTAAATAGAATCAAACAGCATGCCCTCCGTGACTTTTTTCACTCAGCATAATTATTTTGAGATTTACCTATGTTGTGTCACTCAACAGTTTTTTGTTTTTTTTTACTACTGAGTAGTATTCTTTGTATGGATATGCCACAATTTCTATATCCATTCACCCATCGGTGGACATTCTGGTTGTTTCCAGTTTTTGTCTATAACAAATACTCTTGTGTAAGTGTTTGTATGGACATAGGTTTTCTTTTTGGTAAATAGGTAGGAATGGAATAGGTGGATTATGATAGGTATACATTTACCTTTTTAAGAAACTGCCAAGCTGTTTTCCAAGTGGTTGTACCATTTTACATTCTCACTAGTTATATACTGAGAATTCCAATTCCCCCTGACCTGTTATGACCAGTCTTTTTAATCAGCCATTCTAATAGGTATGTAGTGGTATAGCTCATTGTTATTTTAATTTGCATTTACCTAGTGACTAATGATGTTCAGCATCTTTTCATGTGCTGTTTTGCTGTCTATATTTCTTCCTTGAGGAAATGTCTCTATTCCCATTGTTTATGGAGTTCCTTTATTTACAAGTTTTATTTACAAGTGACAAATTAAACATTTACAGCTGGCTCAGAAGATTTTAAAAAGCAATAAAGTCATAACAAGGTATCATATACATGGAGGAATATGAAAAAGGCATGAAGGATTCAACCCATATTAGCTATTGCCTAAGTCACTTCCAAAACTAAGAGTGCAGAAAGCAGTATATGCTAGAGCTGGCTTACACTGCTTTATGAGTACATTTAAACATTTTTAGAAATTTTGCAGGCTGTTAAACACAGCCTTTATGAAGAATTAACTATGTAAGCTGACAATTATGTTAAAATCCAATATATAAGAATAAATATTCAAAATTCATTTCCTCATTTTACTATTATCCATGTTTTTGTGGTTATGGTGATCATATCTGTATTATAGAAATATTATAGTTTGATAATATATACCTTCTTCTAATTCTGTGTTCTGTGATGTCCTGTGGTAGCCTGAAATGAGCCACAGTGGGATATTTACCCCAAGAAATTTGCAAACACCATAATCAAAGCTTTTTTTTTTTTCTTTCCTGGTGAGCTAGTTGTCAAACATTTACTAGGCCACCTGTAATGACAAGGACCTTCAAACTGCACTGGGTTACTGTCCACGATGAATAATTGAAGCCTTAGTCACATGGAGAACTCACCTTTGTGAAGCACTTAATTCCTTAAGAACAGATTGATATTTTTGCTGCAGGGTAAAGCTTACCGATTTTCCTTGCTGCTCTGTTTTTTTTGTTGTTGTTGCTTTTTTCACCTCCAGATTTGGGCATGCCAAAATCTACTGGATAAGAGAGGATGCCAATACATTATTTCTGTAGTCCCAAGTAAAAAATACAAAATATTTTATTTGGAGTATAACTAGAAGGGCTGTTAAATACAGAAAACTGTAATGAGCAAAAAAAAGCAGGAAAGGCAAACAGCTCTGTATATCCAAATTTCTACTCATGTAAGAATAGGGGAAACTAGATAAAAATGAGAGGGAACAAATGAGGATGTAAGAGGAATGTTTGGTCTAAACCCCCAATCAGCTTTCTAATCATGGACAAAGCATTTTTTTAAAGTCTAAACTTACTGAAGATGTTGGATGTTACTGGAAATGTAAAGTTACAGATTCAGTAACATACTACAGCAATCCAGAGATAATCAAATTATGGGGACAAATTCCTGGGGCACAGCATAAAGCTACTGTTATGGTTGAGTGTCCATTACAATTTAATTTTAAAAACAATTAGGAGAAACTAAGGATTTCAGAAGGAACAGAAACCATCTTAAAAGTTCACAGTCTAAATTAAAGGCATATACATTTAAAATATAAAAGAAACAAACATGGCATATGACTTTCAGTAAGACATTTGTTATGTCTCACATGAAATTCAAATTGAAGTTAAAGTGTTTGCCTGACATGAAAAGATGCTCAACATCGCTCATCAGGGAAATACAAATCAAAACCACACTCAGACATCCTCTCACGCCAGTCAGTGGCCAAAATGAACAAATCAGGAGATGCTGGAGAGGATGTGGAGAAACGGGAACCCTCTTGCACTGTTGGTGGGAATGCAAATTGGTACAGCCGCTCTGGAAAACAGTGTGGAGGTTCCTCAAAAAATTAAAAATAAACCTACCCTATGACCCAGCAATAGCACTGCTAGGAATTTACCCAAGGGATACAGGAGTACTGATGCATAGGGCACTTGTACCCCAATGTTTATAGCAGCACTCTCAACAATAGCCAAATTATGGAAAGAGCCTAAATGTCCATCAACTGATGAATGGATAAAGAAATTGTGGTTTATATACACAATGGAGTACTACGTGGCAATGAGAAAGAATGAAATATGGCCCTTTGTAGCAACGTGGATGGAACTGGAGAGTGTGATGCTAAGTGAAATAAGCCATACAGAGAAAGACAGATACCATATGTTTTCACTCTTACGTGGATCCTGAGAAACTTAACAGAAACCCATGGGGGAGGGGAAGGAAAAAAAAAAGGTTAGAGAGGGAGGGAGCCAAAACATAAGAGACTCTTAAAAACTGAGAACAAACTGAGGGTTGATGGGGGGTGGGAGGGAGGTGCGGGTGGGTGATGGGTATTGAGGAGGGCACGTTTTGGGATGAGCACTGGGTGTTGTATGGAAACCAATCTGACAATAAATTTCATATATTGAAAAAAAAAATAAAGTGTTTGCCTGGGTTTTAGTAAGGTACAGTACCTTAAAGTACTAATAGTGATAAAGATTTAGAGTGATGCACACTGAAGAATAGCAGTTTGGTATTAAATTGGAAGGAACAAATAATCCTTAAACCAGGCAGTACCCCATGTAATCACTTTACTAATAAACTGGACAAAAATAAATGGAACTTTTATCAAACCAGCAGGTACAAGCTTTATTTTTTTAATAAATTAAAATTAAATTAAAATTAAATTAAAAATGAGGTGCCTGGGTGGCTCAGTCGGTTAAGTGTCTGACTCCTGATTTTGCCTGGGGTCATGATCTCTGGGTTCCTGAATTCGCAGCCCACCTAGGGCTCTGTGCCAGGTCAGTGCAGAGCCTGTTTAGGATTTTCTCCCTCTTTCTCTGCCCCTCCCCTGTTTGTACTCTGTTCTCTCCCAAAATAAACAGATAAACTTAAAAAAAAAAAATGAGGAAATACATATTCCCAAGGAGATATCTTCTTTATCTCCAAACTTAAAATTTTATAAAGGAAATTGAGTAATCTCACATGAAAATACCTAAGAATATATGAAATTAATAGATACAGTAGAGAAGTGCCTGCTAAACATTTCCACAATTAAAAAGAAATAAATCACTGTTTTTTCCCTCGTCCTGATTCCCAAAATCAGTTCCTCTTTTTTTTTTTAAGTTTATTTATTTTGAGAGAGAGAGAGGAAGGGGGTGTAGAGGGGCAGAAAGAGAGAATCCCAAGCAGTCTCCTCACTGTCAGCGCAGAGCCTGACACACAGCTTGATCCCAAACTGAGATCACGGTCTGAGCTGAGATCAAGAGTTAGATGCCTAACTGACTGAGCCACCCAGGCACCCCATCAGTTCCTCTTTTGACTGACTTATGTAAGTGATTCCATTTTCTAGTCACCAGGATTCACTATACTTGAATAATCTTTTTCTTTCACTCTTCTCTTTCCTTATCCGTCTCCACTTTTATTTCTTTAGATCTTCAAATGCATATTACACCTTAAATTTTATAATATGCATTTTAAAAGGTTTTTATCATCATTATATTTGTATAACCACTCTGTGAGTTAAGCAAAAGTTATTAACATTTCATCATTCTATTAAAGGCCTCCAAGGTGACTGGCATGTAAATAAGCAGAATCACACAGGTTAAATGACTTGCCCAAGTTGACAGGACCAGTAATTACAAGTCCTGTGATTCTAATGTCAACATTCTTTTCATTACACCATGATGTCTCTCATCAACAGCTCATATTTGGTCCATTACTAAAGATTCCTAGTGGGTTTCTCTGCCTGTATTCTTACTTCTTCAGTCTATCTTGCATGTCACTACCGTATTGAACACAGTTTTTATGAAAAGATACCACAATAGGGGTAGCTCAGTCAGTTGAGTGACTTCCGCTCAGGTCATGATCTCATGGTTTGTAAGTTTGAGCCTCGCTGTGGGCCCTGTGCTGACAGCTCAGAGCCTGGAGCCTGCTTCAGATTCTGTGTCTCCCTCTCTCTCTGCCCCTCCTCTGCTCAAACTCTGTGTCTCTCTCTCCCTCAAAAATAAAAAATTAAAAAAAATTTTAAAGATACCACAATAAAGAAATTTCCAGTGGTTTCCTATTATATAGAGAATAAAAGTCAGACCTTTATCCCTGCTTTCATACATCAAATCTCTTAATCAAACTGGGCTCATGTTCCTTCAAACATCCTTCTAACTTTGCTGAGACTATGCCTTTGCTTATAGCAGTGTTTCCCTTGAGTTACAAATCCCTGAGTAATAGTTATTACAGGGGACTTGGACATAATGATGTGTCTATTTTTCTTATATATTTATTTATAGTTTATATGCTGAACACGTATGACTAGTACCTTGTGTGTTTTGATAGGGGGCAGGGGCATCCAGTAAAATTTTTGACATTAAAAATGTCACAAGTCACCAAGGACTTGGTGTGTCTGGTTGGCTCAGTTGGTGGAGCATACGACTGACTCTTCATATCGGGGTTGTGAGTTTGAGCTTCACATTGGGTGTAGAGATTACTTTAAAAAAAATGAGTCGTCTGCAGTTCCACTTCTAATAATAAAGAACTAGGTGGGTTTTGATTATGCTTTAGCTGAGAATAACTAGCAACTAGAAAAGTGGGCCAAGAAAAAGAAAACCACATGTCTTTAAAGGCACTAAAAAGCTACCAAACTGGTGAAGATTGCAGGGCTAAGATCTAGGAGAGGGAGACACATCGGAGAGATACTTGAGTATTTAGGGCTCCCTTTCTGCTAGAGACATCTGACTCTATCAAAAGCAACTGAGAAAGTGAACACAGATTTTTGCAAACTCACAGGCCCAGGAGGGGGCAGGGAGGTTGAAAACTGGAGTTTAGGGCTCACAAGGAAGAAATAAACACCTCAGTCTTTTAGCTGAGGGTAGACTTTCACAATGGGTAGACTTAGTAGTCAATTATATGGAGTTGAGGACAAAATTAGGGAATTGGACAAAGTTCAGAAGAAAATATGCAGATTTACAGAGACAAAAGGAAGAAAATGGTAAAAAAATTTTTAAAGGTGGAAGAGACTTATAGTGTAGAATTTTAAAAAGTCTAATATAGTTGAGACCCAGAAGGAAAGGAATGAGAGACCATAAAAAAGTGATACTTGAAGAGATGTCTAAAATAAGTAAAAGGCATCATGCCTCAGATTTAAGCAGCACTATAAACCTTAAGCAAGAAAAAGGCAAGGAAAATCACACCTAAGCACATCATCGTAAAATTGCTGAAAACCAAAGAGGAAAAATTTACGCATCCAGAGGAAAAAGACAAATTACTTTATCAAAACGAATGACAGTAAGACAGCTGCTTTGCAACCAAAATGATGCTATCTTTAGAGTACCAAAGGAAAATACTGTCAACTTAGAATTTACATTCAAACAATATAACTTTCAAATAGGCAAAATAAAGTTTTTTCAAACAAACAGAAATTGAGAATTTGACACCAGCATTTCTGCCCTGTAAAAAAGAGTAGACTTTGGGCAGAGAGAAATGATCTCAGATAGCCACTCTCACATTCTGGAAGAGATGAAGAGCAATGAAAGGGAAAAATACATAGGTAAATCCCAATAAATAGTAAGTTTACAAAACAATGCTAATATATCATGTTGTTAAAAACATACAGATTTAAAACATAATAGCACAGTAACTGAGAGGCGAAGGAAAATAGTCTTAAAGTGGTCTAAGGTAATCACATTGTCTAGGAAGTGGAAAACGTACTGATATATACTAGGCTTTTAAATGTCATGGATGCACATTCTCATTTCTAGAGTAACTAAGAATATTAAAAGAACATAAAACCACAAAAAAATCAAAAGAAGATGAAATAGAAAAAACACTTGAACAATCCCAAAGAAAGTACAGAAAAAAGAACAAAGAATAGGTGAGACAAAGAACAGCAGGATGGCAGCTTTAAAGCCTGTATATAATAATTATACTAAATGTAAACTGATTATCCCAATTAAAAGACAAAGACTTGGATTTATAAAGGTATACTTTTAACCTGTTTTCAAGAGACAAATCTTAAATATGAGAATGCAGAAAAGCTTAAAGTAAAAAGGTATATCATGCAAAAACTAATAAAGATGGTGCGGCTATGCTAAATCCAAGTAGATTTTAGACAAGAAGCAATTCAAGAGATAAAAAGTTCATGTGTCCAGGGGCGCCTGGCTGGCTCAGTCAATAGAACATAGGACTCTTGATCTCAGGGTTGTGAGTTCAAGCCCCATGTTGGGCATGGTGCCTACTTAATTTAAAAAAAAAAAAAAAGTTCATGTGTCCAAGAGTCCTAATAGGAAACAAATGATACATTCAGGATCATTTAAAGAAGGTTTATTTACAAAGGGACTAATTACAATTGTGTGTGTGTAGGGTATAAGAGAATTACAAGAATAGGTTCCAAGAGACAGAAGAACTTAATCAGAATTTGGAGGGAGAGAGAATTGTGAAGAGTTCACTGTGAGACGAGTAATGACCTGTGGTCAAAGTATAAATCCAGTTCAAGTTAACCTCTAGTGGAGGGGAAGAAAAGATGCTCACCTCACTCTTTTCCACTAAGCAATCTCTTCCCATCAGTTACAAACTCATCCTGGGGTGGTGTAAATCAGCTCTGGAACCATAAACATTAGCACCCTAGAATTCTTCATATATGGTAGGGGAGAAAAGTTACAAAACATAAACATAGTCTCTTAAAACCTGCTTTTTTAAGCTGGTCATGAGGCCTAGATTCATAAACATAGCTGTTTTCTTTCACCATCCATTCTTTTTTTTTTTTTTAACTTTTTTTTTTAACGTTTATTTTTGAGAGAGAGAAAGAGGGAGTGAGAGACAGAGAGAGAGCATGAACAGCTGGGCAGAGAGAGGGAGAGAGAGAATCCGAAGCAGGCTCCACGCTGTCAGCACACAGCCTGATGGCTCAAACCCACAAACCATGAGATCATGACCTGAGCTGAAATCAGATGCTTAACCAATTGAGCTATCCAGGTGCCCTATTCACCATCCATTCTTGGTTTCTCTCACTTTTTGTTCGTACCTCACCTGGATGGGATTCTTACCGGGTGGGATACTCCCAACAGTCATTCTTGTAAGATGAGTCCTAGCAGAGGTCCTTTTTGGGTTACCCTAGTTTTTTACTGGACTATTGGCTAAGAGCATACGAACAAGCTTCTCAGAGAATACTGTCCATATACAGTCATATTTATTCTGCTGTATAGCAGCAACGCAATTTCCCCGTTAAAAGGGATCCCTCACCCTGCCAGTAGAGTGATTTCCTTCTCTCTTGTTGGTTAGTGACAGAAAAAGCCCAAACCTGCCAGTGAACAGTGTCCACTTCTAATTCGTTGAAGTATTAGGAAGCATTCCTCTCTTTAGTACCAAGACTACCAAAACCACTAAGTCCAAAGTTTCAGGGACCAAAAAATTCTTCAAGTGGGTTTTTAGGTATAATAGAGAACCTAACAAAAATGCATACATGTGTACCCCAAAAGACATACAAAAGAATGTTCATAGCATCAGTCTTTATAATAGCCCTAAATGGAAACATCGCCAATATCTATCAACAGTAGAACGGATAAGTAAATGGCAATATATTCATTCACTGTATAACAATGAAAATAAATGAACAACCGATCCAGGTAACAACATGGATAAACCTCACAATGTTTTCTTTAAAGATTTTTTTTAATGTTTGTTTGTTTATTTTTGAGTGAGAGATGAGTGAGCAGGGGAGGGGCAGAGAGATGAACCTCACAATATTAAACAAAGGAAGCCAGACACAAGAGAATACAGTTATGTATTCAATATATATAAAAGTTAACCATTGGCAAACCTAATCTTTGGTGTTAGAATTTGGGAAAGTGATTACCTTTGGGAAGAAAGAAGAATAATGACTAAGAAGGGGGCATGTTAGTGTTGTAGCTATTGATGTGGGTGTTGATTACACAGTTATCTTTACTTTGTGATAAGTTGTGCTAAATAATTACATTTGTGTACTTTTCTACATGTGTTATGCTTCCATTAAAAAACTTTTAAAAATTCATATAATAGCCCTCCTGTGTGTGATGTGCACTTTTTCTGAATGCTTTTAAGATATTTTTCTCTTAGTTTTGTCAGTTTGACAATAACACGCATTGGTAATTTTCCTACCTGTGCTTCACTGAGCTTTGTGGATCTGTAATTTCATGCTTTTCACCAAATTCAGAAAACATGCTCCCAGTATTTAAAAAAAATAGACATACAGAAAATAGAAGGACCATGCTCATCTCCACTATACATACCTTCTGGGAAAGATGGCACTACATATTGGTTACTGCATTTAAGCATAATACTTTATTCTGAAGTCCGCATCCTAAATTTGGAGGTTATTGTCTCCTGGTTGGCTCCATAAACTGAACCAGTTTTCTAATTTGTTCTGAGTTCTTGTCCAGCCTGTCGACTCATAAGCCACTCACAATGAACCACTCTATACCCTTACCTCAGACCACGTCTCCTAAAGTTCTCAAGGAAAGGATTTCCCTTTACTGTTGTGATTCAGGGCCACTATTGAGCGATGGTGTTGTATAGTGACCACTCACACCCAGCTATTGCCAGCTCATTGCAGACCCTTTTGTGAATTAACAAGACCTAAACTTTTTTCCTTCATTAATTGGTCAGAGGGAACCCCCTTTGAAGCCAGTGTATATGGATTGAGGGAGAAGTGCTGAAGGAATAGGGGCAGGTACTAATAACAGTAGTCTGAGTCACCTGCTTATTCAGTTTAGTTGTGGCCATGTACCCAGTTTTGTAGGGAGTGAACTGCTGTTATGCCCATCCAGTTGTATGATTGGTGAATCAGATAACACCAGTTCATGATGAGTAGTAGTTCGATCATTCACATAGTCACTTGATGTCCCATGGTCAGGAGTTCCATCTCTATCAGGTACCAGCAGCAAACCAGGAGCTGCTTTTCAAAGAAACAAAACAAAACATTGGTTGAGGAAGATAGATCTTTACTCAAAAACCAAGGAATCTTGTGATTCTCCTATTGGCACTTACCCTCAGAGGCTTCATATAGCATCTCTACCACATGAACTTCCAATACCATTGTATCTGCCTAACCATAAGGCCCGACCGGCAAGACAGTTTGCTCTGGGCCCCTCTCAAAATTACAGTTACCCATAAAACAGGTTAGGTCACCCAAAAGTACTATTTTGTTGTCTCCAGAACCTAAAAAGGCCTGCCACACATTTTGCCTTTTTCTTTACTGTCGTGGTGAAAAACACAACAGTCACTCACTTGAATGGATAACCTAACAGGTCTCTGGCCACTGAATCCCATGTGGCAGGTCCCTGAAGTTTTACAGGGTATTTCTTGCACCTTCTGCTAAGCATATGTCTTACCAAAGCATGTAGAGTGTTTACTACTTCCTGCTCTTTGGGCTCATTTAACGTTCATTTCTATAATAGACCAGTGTGATATTCTATCGCATAGAAAGATGATCAAGGTCCCTTCAGCACAGAATAGAAAGGTGGCACAGTGCTGAGACAAGACAGTAAGGGCTTACTGTTGTCTCTGTCAGTTAAACACAATCTACTTCTGATTTCCCTGAATAACTGGAATGGGAAATGAGGGGGCACTTCCAGAGCAATACCTATATATCATATCAAAGTCTGTATTCATTTCCTCCAATGAAGATACCACGCCTATAACAGCAACTACAATTGGCATCTTTGCCTGATAAAATCTTGCAGTAATCCAGTCATTCTTTACTACCCATTTGGTTTTTATACTGTCATTCCCTATGACCCATCTGGTGACCACAAAGGGAAGTTAAGTGGGAATGTGGTATGAATCACTATGCCAGCATGGTGGCACTAATTTCTGCAAGTTCCCCAGGGATGCAGTACTGCTTTGGTGAGAGACAAGCAGTTACGAACTTCTACATAGCCCTTCCTACCATAATAGCATTCACTCCATTGGACAGGAAACTAAAATGAAGACTGCTTCAGTTATTAAAATATGTCTATTCTTACTACACATTAAGACTGGAGAAATAACCCCAATATGGGTCTCTCTGGACTCACTGTTAACCCAGATGCAGGCCAAGACTCCATCTGTCACTTAAGTTTCCTAGGCCTCCTATTTTAACCAGTTGTCCAGGATTAGGTTTTGGGTCTCTAGGTATTAATATAAGTTAAGAGACAGTATCTAATAAGCCTCAGGAGGTCTGGTATTTTCCTTTCTCCAGGAAATGGCCACTAGAGAAGAATTAGGGCAGTGATCCCATAATTTGCTCACCAGGGGAGCTTCAAAAAATATCAATGCCTGGGTCTCACTCCCTGAAATTATGATTTAATTGGCCTGGATGTTCTTGAGAATTTTACGGTGGTCTAAAGTACAGACACGTTTGGGAAGCATGGGATTAGGGGAAGGTTCATGGTTATACACCTGTGGCAGCATTGCAGGATTTTTCTTCAAAGGGACCCAATCTTTCTCCATCATCAAAGAGTTCCAGGTCTGTGAACTGGATGAGATGCTTCAAATTTCATTATGACAACACAAGTTAGTTTAGAATTTTCCCACCTATATATGTCAAGCAGCAAATTAGTAGGCTACTTAATCTATTACTTAATCTGCTTCCTTTCTTGTTATCCTTTAACCATTACCACCTTTCCCTGAAAGTCAAAACACTCTGATTAACGTTCTCTTCTTTGGATTATTATGGTAATTGTGCCCACCATGTCTCTGATGGTTATATGCCATCACGTGGCCTCTACCAATTTGAGATTATCTTATTCTGAGATCAGGAAACTCAGTTCTACCACAGCATTTATCACCATCAATCTGACAAACAGAGGGCAGCCACTTCAGAGCTCTTTAGGGATGCTTATACTTCTATCACCAATGCATCCTTAATGACTTGGTAAAAATGGAGAATGTCTAAGGAGCCCTTGTTTTCTCTTCTCTACAGTATGCCAGAGTATTTCTGGGATTCTGAAATTATTACTTCAAATTTCATTTGTAGGTCATTTATTATTTGTAGACTGTTATTGAGCCCATGCCTCATCCTAGCAAACTATTAATGCCAATATATGAGATGTTGATTCTCAGGTGAGTGCACCCATGCCAATAAATTTGCCATGATAAAACCTTGTATTGATTCCCCCTTGGTGTAACATCCTTAGAACCCACTTCTATATATACTCCTCAGGTTTCTGCTGATCAACATGGTCAGGTCTTTAACTCCTGTGTAGGTTATCTCATGCCATAGCAGGCCACATACTTCTCTGATTAGGTGATCTTGAGATTTATCTAGGGATACTGTGAGGTGATGAAGGTACGTTCTGAGAACAGATACCAGCCTATGAGAGAGCTGTTCCCAGTGCAGTCACCGAAAGCCTCTATGCAGAGGAGGCTAGTTTCCCCAGAGAGCCAAGGAAGTTTGGGGGATCTGCAGGTTCAGCATTCTCATCTTCATTCTTGTCTGCTCAAAAGTCTCCATTCTGTCTTAGGGCCCCACATCTTTCTCACCAATGCTCTACCCTTAGACTAAGAAAACTGGAAGAACTGAGTATTTTATTGGTACTACAAATCTACCTTTTCTGCCCACTGCTTATAGGAGATGAAGGACTCCTTCAAAGCTGTGGTGGAGGAGTTCTGACACTCTCTATGCATTCTCAGCTACATAGTCATAGTTTTTACATTTTTCTTTTTCCTGTGTACATTCTGTTTAGGTTCATAAGAGAGGCCTGGTGGATCCACAATCTTAAATCACTATTGGTTACCACAGTGATACATTCTCACCTTCACTCCATCCCATGCTATTAATAGTAAGTATAATAGTACCTTAAGCCATGGATCACTTGTGGTCCCTGTGTCTATAGCAATGAAGTTATCCCTGTGATTTATTTTACGTGTGTGTGTATTTAATTCAACCTCAAAGGGTCCATCTCCTCTAACAGCTCTGGTACTAATTACTCTTTCAGTCAGGGTTATAAAAAAAATTGAAGGCACATGTGAAATAATTTAAGAATGAAAAAGATTGGTGAAAATAAATTACACTAAAATCAGGAACTTTGTTTTTTCAAAAGATGCTACTGAGAAAATGAAAAGACAAACCATACTATGAGAAAGGATATTTGGTATATATATGTGTGTTCAAGAACTCATATCCAGAATAAAGAAGCCCTAAAAATCAGTCAGAAAATGACTGACAACCCAACAGAAATATGGGCAAGTGACTTGAACAAGCACTTCAAACCAGAGGATCTCTAAATGGCAAATAACATAAAATGGTGCTCAGTCTCAATCATCACCAGTAACATGCAAATTAAAGCTAAAATGAAATGCCACTACACACCCATCAGAATGGCTAACATTAAAAACAGTGATGATACCAAGTGTTGCTCAGGGTGTGGAGACTGTGAAACTTTCATATACTTTTGGTGGGGATATAAATAACATAAACTTTGGAAAACTGTCATTCTGTATACAGTGTGAACATACCTCGAGACCAAGGAATTTTAATCCTAAATATTCTCTCAAAAGAAGTCTTCCCATTCACACCAAGAGACACATAAGAGAATGTTTATGGCATCATTATTGGTTAATAGCCCCAGGGTAGAAAAACCCAAATATCAACAACAGGATGGATAAATATATTTGGTGCAGTCATACAATGGAATATAGCAATGAATGTGAACTTTTCCAAACAATACAGAACAATCTCATATACATATGAAATGCACACTTAATACCATTTATGTAAGGTTGAAAGTGAGGCAAAATTGGTCTATGGTTAGAAACTGGAAGAATGATGACTTTGGGGAGAAAGGCAGGATAGTTACTGAGAGGTTGTATACTATGTAAACAGTAATACTCTATTTTCTGAGTGGTGGATACAGTGATATTTTTACTTTATGGTAGATACTTCATTTATTTCCATAGTATTCTATATTTTTATTTTTTAAAAGGGTGGGCCTAAAAAGACTGGAACTATTTGTTTATGCCTCCATGCCCCTCTCCACTAATTCAAGTACTTCTTCCTTCAAGGTCCAGTTCAGATTCCATATCTTACATGAAGTCCAACCACTCCAGATAGAGGCAATTTATCTTTCTATATGGTTTTTATTACATCCCCAGGGAGGCAGTATAACAATAGAAATATGGGCAAAGGGGTTTGGGCTTCAATCTGTAAGGCAAATAAAAGTAGGATAGTGACATGGTCATATTTGTATCTGCATACCATAAATGTGTTTAACCAACTTTACTTATACATATTTCTTTGAATATGTGGGCAAATATAAAACTTTATATATACCTGTAAGTATGTAATCTGCTACACTGTTATAATATTTGTTCCCAATGAATAATTCTTTGGTTTATGCCTTTTTGCAATATGCCTTTGGAGGAATAGAAAATTTGGGGGGGTGGGGAGGAAGTCTCTTTCTCTTGTTACCTAGCTCACCAATTAATCTAGTCTCTCAATGTCCTTTCTTCTTCCTTCAGTATTAGAATGCCCAAGTTTTAGCTTTGTACATTGCCACATAGTTAAGGACTGTATTTCCTAGCCTCCCTTGAAAGTATGGCCATATGACTATATTTTGGCCCGTGACTTATAAGTGGAAGTGACAGCTGCAACTCCTATGGCATTCCCTTAAGAAAAGGTAGCTAGAACAAAGGTATTTGTCATTTAAAATATTTTAACACAGATTGCGAGAATGCTTTGTAAATAGGTTGAAAAGTTCACATGTATACCAGCAATGTAAAACAATACCCTTTTACTTGGATCCTCACTAGCAAGAGGGAATTTAAAATTTTGCCCACTATGAAAAGATGTTTCATCATACTCATAACAGGAGAAAAACATAATAAACTAATACTAATATTAAACATTTTCACTTTTCAATCTCAAATCCAAAAGTCTGATAACATATTCTAATGACAGTGCTACACATTCTCAACTGTTCTTTATACAACACTTATGGAGGAAAATTTGGCAATATCATCAAAATTACACACACACACACACACACACACACATATGCACAACTTGATCTAACAATCTTATTTCTGTAAATTTATACTACAGATATCTTGAACATGTGAGACAAAACTATGAACAGGATTTTTCATTACTACATTATTTTTAAGAGCAAAAGACTGAAAACAATGCAAATATCCATCACAGAAGTTTGCAAAATAAATTCTGGCATTCTTTTTTTTTTTTTTTTTTTTTTGAGAGAGAGAGAGACAAAGACAGCGTGAGTGGGGGAGAGTAGGAGAGGGGCAAAAGAGAGAGGGAGAGGGAGGGGAAGAGAGGGGGAGAGAGAGAGAGAGAGAGAGGGGGAGAGACAGAGAGACACACACAGAGAGAGAATCCTAAGCAGGCTCCATGCGCAGCATGGAGCTCAACCTGGGGCTCCATCCCATGTCCCTGGGATCATGACCTGAACTGAAATCAAGGGTTGGATGCTCAACTGACTCAACCACCCAGCTGCCCCAATTCTGGCATTCTTGTAGTACAAATACTATGTGGCTGTTAAAGAATGAGTAATCTTTTTTTTTTTTTTTAATTTTTTTTTTCAACGTTTATTTATTTTTGGGACAGAGAGAGACAGAGCATGAACAGGGGAGGAGCAGAGAGAGAGGGAGACACAGAATCGGAAACAGGCTCCAGGCTCTGAGCCATCAGCCCAGAGCCCGATGCGGGGCTCGAACTCACGGACCGCGAGATGGTGACCTGGCTGAAGTCGGACGCTTAACCGACTGCGCCACCCAGGCGCCCCAAGAATGAGTAATCTTATTATGCAGCTGATTAAATACCTCTAAGATGTATTGCAACCAAAAAAGTGAGATGTGGAACATAGTGTACATTATGATAAATTGTTTTTTAAAAAGGAGAATATAAATTTGTGTAAGAAAGCTCTGGGAATTACTTCAAATCTATTAGAATGGCTGTTATCAAAAAGACAAGAAGTAACAAATGTTGGTGAGGATGTGGAGAAAAGAGAATTTTTGTGCACTGTTCGTGGAATTATGTATTGGAATAGCCACTATGGCAAACAGCGTGGAAGTTCCTCAAAAACTTAAAACTAGAACTACCATATGACTTGGCAATTCCACATCTGGGTATTTATTCAAAGACAATGAGAATGCTCCAAAGGATATATGCACACCCATGTTCATTGCAGCACTATTTACAATAGCCAAGATATGGAAACAACCTAAATATACATTGAAAGATGAATGGATAAAGAAAATGTAGTAGATATGGAGTAAGTCATGGAAATAAAAGCCACAGCATAAAGAATATAATCAATGATATTCTAAGTGTTGTATGGTGACAGTAGCTACACTTGTGATGAGCATACATAATGTACAAATTGGTCAAATTAGTATGTTGTACATATGAACTAATATAACATTGTGTGTCAACTACACTCAAAAAAAAAAAAAAGAAAAATTCATGATCGAAGTTTAGAGGGAAAAAAAAGAAAAACATGTCATACGTATTTAGAATGGAATATCATTCAACCATAAAAAATAACGAAATCTTGCCATTTGCAACAACATAGACCACGTGGGCATAATGCTAAGTGAAATAAGTCAGATTGAGAAAGACAAATACCACATGATCTCACTTGTATGTGGAATATAAAAACAACCAACCAACAAGCCAAGCTCAGAGATAGAGAACAGACTGGTGGTTGCCAGGGGTGGGGTGGGCAAAATGGGTGAAGGGGGTCAAGAGGTACAAACTTCCAGTAATAAATAAGTCATGAGGATGGAATGTACAGAAGGTAACTATAATTAATAATACTGTTTTGCATATTTGAAAGTTGCTGAGAGTAAATCTTAAAAAGTCCTCACCATAAGAAAAAAAATTCTGTAAGTGTATGGTAACTAGACTTATTGTGATGATCATTTCACAATATTTACAAATATCAAATCATCATGCTGTACACCTGTACATATAAAGTTTCATGTCAATTATACATACCTCAATTGAAAAAAAAGAATACCATGACAAGAAAGACTGCAAAAGAAAGGGAAAAGAAAAAGAAAAAATAAGCTCTAGGAAGATACATGAGAAAATTGTAAAAGTAGTTGTGAGATGGATGGATAGATGGCTGTGGCATGAGAAATGGTGGAGGGGATATACATGTGGGAAATTTCAAAACATAAGTCTATTTATACACACGTGCACATACACACACCATTTGAATGAATTACTTACTCAAAAAGAAAAGAAGTTTCCATATGGTGAATTCCTTAGTTTCCTTTATGTGATTTTTGTCAAGTCCATTTACCCATCTGATTCTTCTACTGTAAATCAGGGGTAAGATACATGTCATAGTACTTTGTGAGCACTTATATGTGTGCATAGTTCAGTGCTGGTTACATAATCAGCATTTAATGTTAGTTGAATTAAAACAATAGTTTGACAGTCTGTTAGGCCTAACTGGCATTTCATTATTATTTTACTTTGCATGCTCCTGATTTCTCCTGATTCTGAGAATCTTTTCACATTTGGAGTTACTCTTTGTTGAGTTCATATTCTTTGCTACCCACTTTTCTGTTAAACTACA